CATTATCTTCGGCATCTCCCTGCTCTCAGGGCAACAACTCAGTGTTTCTCATTTACTTCTCAATCTCATTTATGTATGTATAGCATCACCCTTTTACGGCACCTCCCAAACTCCCACCACCCCATAAATCTGAGTGAAGAAAGCTTACAGATTTTTTTTCTACGTCGGGAGGGTGCAAGCTTGGGAGACACGTGATAGCAATCCCGTGATCACTGCACTACTCCAAGACTAAGTCAACTTAGTAGGTACGAGGGGTGAGTGTATGGAATCGAACGTGCTGTCAACATCGAAGCCTTTTACACTGGCTCGTATCCAACGTAACATTGTGAATACTCAACTGCCACGCAGAGAGCACATGAGCGGCTCTACTCAATTCCAGCTGATCATATTACTTCTCTGATCAGACAGTAACGGTACACAAACGCTATGTATACATCTTGGAGAGTGAATCAGTTCGAGTACCCTCTCTGCCAACGCAACACGAGCACGTAGCCCAGCCCCATTGGTCATGATAAGGGTCCTAAACTGAGAGATTTAGTGATCATTAGATTTTCTGATGAAGGAGTGACCGACGAGGCCGCTGGATCAGACTTCAGAGATTCGTTGGGGGCGAGTCAATGGTATCTTGTCACGATAACTAACGATAGATTCGTTGGTACTGATTACCGACCCTTGGGAAATGGAAGGCTTGGTTGGCCTATGCGGATACCGATTCGGGATCCGAACATCTGGCCTTGCGTGAGTGATGGTGCGCCACTCACCACTACATCACTTCCGTCATGTCCTATACCGAAAGGCTACCTACGCTACAACGGGCCAGACCGCTGATAGCCTTGAAAGCGCTATGATTTGAATCATCAACTCAAAGTCAGCCCAAAGGAGCACTGATTACTGTAACCCCAGGAGTGCTTCGGGGGAGGGAGAGGTGGGAGCGTTAGGGGAAATGTACTGTTAAGGACTTGGCAAAACTTTCCGGTACAAGACTACTCAACACGAATATGATGTTTTGTTAATATGACTTATATGAGGGGAATCCGAGTTTTGGTTCAGATCACATCCCCTTTTATGTGCGCCATACACCCAGCTCTTTCATAGATCGTACTTTGCCTTCAAAAGGAATTACCGTAGTGTGCCATAGCGGAAGGCAATCATTTCCCTTCTCAGACCAATCTCATTCCAACTGCTCAGCAAGTATTGGTATGGGTTTATTGAATATGACGGGAATCGATCCACTGACCACGTGCCCGATAACAGCGCCCTATATCACTTCTTCATTTCCATGCAGATAGTAGCGGAGATTAAGCGATTAAGCGACTACGTGATAGTAGCGGATGAACTGTGCAGAATCCGAGCCAAAATAGGCAATTCTATTGGGAGCAGCTTAGCTGCTTCCAGCCTTGCGTTAGAAGCTGAACTTAAAGTTAGCAAACAAAAGTTACTAGTTGGAGTCAAATGTAGTAGCATTGACAGTTACTTATGACAAGGTCAAGCAACAGATGACCACCAAAATCCTATGTTTACAATTGTTATTTGTCATAATACTGACTGCATTTGTAAGAAGGGACCTTTTTCAGGAGGAGTAGCATTTCGCAGGCTGAAACGAACAGCGTTCAAATATCAGATCTATTCAATTCAAGACTTTTTGCTTCAACCGGCTGTCGATTTGGTTCGTTTTCCCATTTAACTACCGTAATCGAAATTTCCATCTAGTCCTCTGAAGTGTGAAAACCATAAATCATTTTCTAATGTGGTTTCACCAAATTTGTTCTGATTTCAGATGCCGGCACCATTTCGCAACTGGTCGGATTGAACAGTGCATTGAACAACAAGAACGATAGTAATGTCACTACAAGCACTCCAACTGCTACTTCTACTACAACTAATAATAATAATAATGTTAATAACAATAACAATAATACACTGTCGTTATTCTCATTGTCATCACTCAATTCTACTGCACAAGATTGTACTGAAGAGTTTGTTGACGTGGATGGCACAACTGATGTGAAACAGGAGCCTCCTACACCGACCACTGAACAAATTCTACGACTGATGATTACAGGTGAGTTTAGTCCATCGATTTGTTTACAGCAGATTCATAACTGACTATGACTGGAATGAAATTTAATACTTCTGCGTTTTACGTTACGCTGTAGTCCCTACTGATTCCCTATCCACAGTATTTACCCAGTTACCCCTGTAGTCAAAGACTTACCCCGTCTCAAGCCCTAGAATCCTCTACGCAAAAGGTCCACAGGGCCCACACCAGAGAATTCACGAGTCCGAGCCGACGAACCAGGCATAGAAGCCCCACCGTAATGCTACGCACTTTTGCACAGTTATCTGTACAAGCCTACTGTACACTTACTCTACATTTCTCTGTAGGACCGTCAAAGTGAGAAAGGGCGGGGGGAAGAGGAGAGAAAGGGGAGGGGGACCGAATGTCTGTCTCTCACTGAAGCTCGAGCAGAACCGTCCGGAGGTGCGACCGAGCTGACGGGACAAGAGAAAAAGGGTTCTCCAGGCTGCTTCCATTCCAACCTCACACCATTGTATGATTATGGTACAAGAACTAATTGGTCACAGTACTACTTTAGTAACCACAAATTAGATAGAGAGAAAGAGGAAAGGAAAGTCAAGAATGAAAAGAAAAGATCAGGAACGCTAGAGATCATATACCGTAGCAGCTAAATGGGATATGTTTTGCTTAGAATCAGACCGCAGATCGATATGCTCGATAAAGGACACCAAACTGCGATCCTTTGTAGTATTCTATGCACTGAGATATGAAGTAGAAATAGTACAATGTAATGGTAATAGATAGTTAATTCCAGTTATTTTTGTTACAGAACCTATCTCCTTCTGGAACGAGATGAACAAGTTTGGTTTGTTAGATCAACTTGTCGATCAGTTACTAGAGTGCCTCTCCAATGTGAAATGTGCTGCTAAAACTGGTGGTCTTGCATGGGGTAAGTACATTGCATTCAATAAAAATTCGGTGACGAGTTCCTTTTTTAATTATTATAGTTTATTAGGTGTTCTGGCTCTTTCTGTTTCTATAGATGCCAGAAATGCCCCATTAGGGTAATTATCTGTTTAAACCACATCTCGTCTTTACTAGGGTGGGTATTTCTACCCGAACTCTTACAAAGAGCGGCAGTGCTTTCGCTGCATTTACAGTAATCTACCATTGAAGATTCAAATCTTCCCTTCACAGCGCGGCACGCCGTTTAGACAGAAGAACTGGCAGCTCTTTATTGTTGGATTACCCGGCAAAGTACTACATTGGTGTGATGAGATGGTTACTGAAGATTCATAGCCATGAACTCATTGAAATTCAGTTCTTGAAGAAACTAGCTCTTGCTCCAAATCATATGTTCTAGACTCTAGACGAAAAAAGGACAGTCCGATGTGAGCTGCATCGATCTACTGTTAACGTGTTAGTGTAGTGTGTGATGTTATGACTGCGCGGCGATTCTTAGCTAGTTGTCTCGCCGCGCTCCCCAGACCCAGTGGGTTGTCTTACGTAGTTGTCTCTCGCGCGGCATGCCGTTTAGCATGACACCTATTAACGATGTTTATACCTTCACTCCCGCCATCCATTGGTTCTCCCTTTTAGGATGCAGCCCTACTATTCACATTCAGATTAATAATTCAGCACTCACTCTAACCTTTTGGTGTTTAGCAGCTCCAGCACTAACACGTGTCGTCTCGGTGCTGAACATGGGTGATCAACTAGTCAACAGCATCCATTCAAAACCATTCGCAGATCTTCAATTGAACAAGCCACGATTATCGATGGGTGAGCTGACAAAACCCCAGTCTTTATTAGCTCAAACTAATTTGCTCTAGGAAAAGTGTTTTTTTTCAGATTCCGTATACAACGGCAATAGAAAACGTTCTATAGATGAATCATCTCAGAGTTCTCAGTCTCGATGCTCACCAGATGTCAAACGTCCCCGAGTACAGTACCCTACAAACGTGATGACAGCTCTGGTAAGGGTTTCGCCTCATGGTCTCTTAAGAAAGCGTTCAATTTTTGGATCAAAGGTCGGTGGTTGGAGACCAGCTGGGAACAGAATTACGGGGCTTACGCTTCTAGAAAGAGAAGCGAGTCACTATTAATCCATGAATAATAAAACAACCTAAAATGGATTCTGACAGAGTTGTCACTGTTTGCATCAAGAGGTGTATTACAATCATATTCTTTCGCAAAATTTTTCATGTAATTGAAAAAAAAGATGTAGTTAACACCGAAATTCTTCCGGAAATCGGAAATGCTACCGTGCGAAAAACGAATGGGTATCCATAAATCTGAGATAAGTAGCAACTGCAAGCTGTTTTGGGCATCAGAGCCTGTAGTTGTTAGTGATTTTCCCATCTACGCTGGTCGGGGCTTTAGGCTAAATAAGGACGAGTTAAACCTGGCATCTCGCCCTTCTTTTATCGGCTACTAGTAACATAACTTTTGATTCCTTTCATTACTCAATCCTATGTACAAGGAAGTAGGATGGCCAGTTTCCTGTTGAGGGTGAGGTCTAGAGGGATGAAGTGTGCAAATGGCTTATTTAAAGACTCCTGAGAAAGGTTACGCCACGCATCCGACATGTGCACCTAATGTTGGGGGTCCCCTGCCACACGTTGGTACGATTTACGTTCTCCTGAAGCGCAATGTGTAACGCCTGAGTATTGATTATCGCTCATTGATTTAATTATGCAGTATCGATTTAGGATATGGATCCTCGCGTGCTACAGGCGCTGGCTCAAGCACAACTTCGTCTCAGCCACGAAACTGAAAGGGTGTTTATGCAAAGTGTGGCACCCCTAACTATTCCTGGAACACTGCCAACACCAACGTTCGACTAAGATTACGCAGAGGATCTCGTCCAAATCGATTACCATATTGTCCAATACAGCTTTATGAAATGATTCATCATATCTAGTGGAATAGGGAGCCTGATAACCCTATTGATTGATGCTTTACCGTGTATTCCGCAAAATAAGTGCCACTTATACAGACCGTTCATAATCAATTCTTAGCATGGTGCTAGAAATTACTCCCCGCACAATATTTATGGATATTATTCTTCTATGTTGTATATTATATTACTAAGTTATTCAGATGTGAATTATTCAGAGTTGTGTAGTCAAATGATTCGCCTTATAAGTTTCTCGGTACAATTTCGTCAGTTTTACAATTTGACATTACTTTTGTACAGAAGAAAGTACTCACTAACTCATATGCTACATACGGGTGACCGAATCCTTTCTTCAATCTGAAAGTTTTCACTTACATTCTAATATTAAAATATTTATCTATTGAATCTATTATTTAGTAAATTTTGTTATGTCTTCATTATTGAAGGAACAATATTAGGATATTATGATAGTAAATTTTGTTTATTTTGTCACTTCGTTGTGTTGACGATTATTGATCGATTCACCAAAAGGATAATGAAAGGTCATAAGAGTAAATGTGACTTTAAGGTAAAGACAACTAGGACAACTTTTCCTCCCGCAGTCACTGCTTTGGCCCTTTCCTCTGACCCACTTCAAACTTCCCTTTTCCGAGTTACCATTTCTCGGTAGGAATGTCATAAAGTAGTTAGTCACGTGTCTTTGAACTGCCATTCTCATATTGGAAGCTTAAGCTCACCCGAATGATCTGAAAGGACACATACTTTCTGAAGCGAAACGTTAAACCCATCCACCTTGGCCCATTCAACAAAACCCAGGTTCATGTCATGAATAAAGTCTACACCCCTGAAACCTGCTTACACTTACTACCTTACCTCTCCCTTCTTAATCGATAATCACCCTGTTTAATTGCAAAATATCTTAGCGATCTTGAAGTAAACAAAAGTTACAGAAGTGACACCTGGTCTGCCATGGGTCTGCGACGTGTTCCATGATATGACTATCGAAACTATACCTAGAATACGCACTCGAGGCTATCATTAAGTATCGGATCAGGAATGTAACAGTACAATGGATAAATAAAAATAACAAAAAANATGTAAAATACACGGCATACCTCCACAGTTCCCGAAGTTGCGTGCAGCACTTACAATCATACATCTCGTCCACCTTCCACCCGTTTTGAAGCAATCAAGCCTAATTATAGCTAGACCTCATAAGCCAGCCCGATGAGTTGGAATTTCGTAATTACGGGATTTCTACACTTCATTTACGGTATCACTGAAGTTGTGCGGGTATGGGTACTTACGTGCGTCCGAGGATGCGCGCGGCAAGTGGCGCGGCCAAGTGCGCGGTGATTCGAACGATTCTGGCGCCTATCATTGGGGTCCAAACTCGGAGTAGAGTAGTTTAGTAGGGTCAGCTGATACTAATAATCTACTCTACTTCAAATTTGGATCACAATGATCGGCGCCAGAGTCGTTCGAATCACCACGCACCTCGCCGCGCAATTTGCCGTCCTCGGACGCACGTAAGTTCCGTACCCCAAGTTGTGCATAGGCATGTATCACGTCACTGTGAGAAAAATAACTGGTATTAAGTAAAATTTTCCAACGAAATTTCATTCAGCTTGTATGAGCTTGTATTTCAACAGTACACAACAACAGCAACCCTTCATGCGATATAAATAAAATCATAAACAAATAAAAGCGATTATCGCCAAATGACAAGGCTAAGTCAAGACACATTTAAGCTTAAATATTAAGTAAAGAATTCACGTTATCAAAGCTTTGTTCACCTCGTCATTTAGGAACAATAAAAGCAAATATGGAAAATTCATTTGAATATCCAAATAGAAAGTTATTACAGCTGAAACGAATGAAAGAGAAACTGAAATACATTCAGTGTATTGATTGAGATGAGCAAAGTTTCAACAACCGACCCAAACTTATCGCATTCACCCGGAAACGAATCCCATATCAGGTCTCGGAATGCTTCCCACTGGACGTATCCGTCTTGGCACCACCAGTCTGTTCAAGAAGCCATTGAGCGTATGGGAACGAAACGGCATCCGTTGCAAGTGATACAAACGCGGGCACATCATACGTATGGTTTTCCATGACGACCTGAAACCACAAACTTTCACAGAAAAATAAGTATTCAGGGAATGCAGTTCTTCTTTGAAAGTACTACCCCTACCATTTAGTGATGGCATCAGTTCATTCAAAACTACTCACATTCACCGGTCACGGTCATACAGAGCTGGGTTATGATAACCCGCCATTTAGACAGTCATGAGTAGCGAAAATAAAAAGTTACTCGTCTAGGATTAATATGAAACCCACGGTATTTCCTGCGATTTTCCCAGTTTTACCCCCAACGATTGGAGTATGATACTTGACGAACGGAACTTGGGTGTCGCGGGCGTCACAATGTATTCGTCATCGCCGGGTGTGGTGCGTTAGGAACGAAATGGTCGCGTCGCGGTGAGAGGGGCGTCGCGCGCGAAGGAATGTAGCAGGATGCAGCGGTAGGTAAGAAATACAAGAACAAAAGTACTAATATTAGAANTATGTATAAAATGATTATCGATTGAGCTGTATGAAGAACGCTAGAGCTGTAATAACGGCGAATGAGTGGTCCGCGACAGCCGCGTGCGGCGAATCGATTACCCAAAATCGTTTCTAACGCCCGTCTCCCGTCATCGTTAAAGACGGCACCACAAGAAAGGGTCCACAAAGGCGCTCTTCTACTCACCGCTAGAGTTTTCTTCGCCCTTACCTTTTGGTCGGGACGTCCCTCGTTAATCGGACAATCATTCTGGCGTACAAGTCGGGAAGTAAACGAGGTAAAAATAAGAGTAAAACATAAAAGGGTTCTTGCGACGCTTCAGTATATCAGATGCGCAGCAGTTCGGCTGGTAGACATCTTAAAGCTACAAGTTAATCGAGCGTCTCGCTATTTTAAAGCCCCAGGACTCAAGTCGGAGAGTTGAAGCAGGGCAGGTTAGAATAGAGGCTACGGGATCGCTCATCATCTTTGCCGTTTCAAAATCTCACCCACATCAAAATTATGCAGCAATAGGCATACCACGATCATCGATTGACGCGCTGCACAAACAACTCTGATCACGAATATTAAAAACATGTTTTTTGATAATACTAACCTTATGAAGATCTTCAACAAGAGCCTCACGGGTTTTGATAATCATCACTACTTCTGGGTCTTCATGCAGTTCTCCTTGCCATTCGTATCTACAATTACTGATATTACGAAGCTTGTAAAGTCTACTAGCTCTACAGTAATTAAATGCTTTGACAGACAAGAAAATCTTGGCAACGTTAAAAAATGTTGAATTCAAACTAGGAACCAACCCATTTCATCTGCTACTGAAGAACAAATTACGGAAACTCACACAGACGTCACTCCAGGGATGATGTTCACACAGGCTGCCACCTTGCGTTCCACCGCAGCTCTAAAAAGTTTACATATAAGGTTTCTCTAGAACTAGGAACTGTAAACAATTAATTTTGGTAGGGATGGGTGTGCAACTTTCTGCCCGATCCGCTCACGGCGTACAGCAATAATTAGTTAGTTGTCCTATCGCTCGCCATGTCTTAGAAGATGTTAATATTCTAATGTCATTTGGAAATGGTGTCAGGGTCAAGCGATGCCCTAACTAAATCATACACGGTGTCAGGGAAGGGCTATGTGGAGTGCTACGCCAACGCCGAAAGTACCCCTTCGCTAGTTTAAACGTGTTGAATGTTTGTCTGAAGGATCTAACTGAAGACACAAGTATGACTAATTGTAAGTATAATGTAAAGTATGAAGTACAAACTTGGCAATTTTAACCGCGACTTCTTTCGATGGAGCCGTAACGTAGACTACTCGAATGTTTCCGGCAGCAGTCAGTGCTGACCGTGCAGCAGAGGCCATGGCTCTGAAAAGAAACCTAATTACTGCTTTACGAAGTCACATTGAGATCAAGCAAAATTGATAAAGAAGAATTTTAAACTGAACTATTCAAACTTATAACTTCTTCGAAGAAGATCAGTAGCGTGTATGGCATTAGGTCAGGACGCGAAGCTCCCAAGTTTGGCGATCATTTAACAAATGCCACGGAGACCTACCGCTTACCACAAGCATTGGTTACGCACCCGGTCTAATGCTACATCATCAACATCGTAAAATTCTAGCGGTAGGCATAATCCCTGGCACGATCTCTGAATGGTAAGCAAAGAAAAAGTACAACCAACCTTGTAGTGCATTTTATTAGAGGTGTTGTACCTTATCCAGGTTATCAAGCTCAATTCCCCTTCGAAAATAGAACGAAATCACCGAAAACCAAGTCAAAAACTTCTCAGTTCATTTTTTACTTTGTTTAACTAGCGCAAACTTTGCTATTTATATGAACCTATTTAAAATCGCTGAAAACATGAGGTCGTCGACTGAGACGGATTAAGATCGTTTTACCAAATGTCCGGCTTGGAAGAGCTCGAAGACTCACAAAAGCCCAAGGAAGTAAAGAAGATGGTAGACGGCGGAGTGGGGCGTAATCTGTAAAAATACTGTGTTAGTTCGCTCAACTTCTTCAATTTTGCCTAGTCGTCTAAACTGAACCAATACCAGAATAAATCTGAAGACAGTTTCATCAAAAATAAATTTTTGGCCTCATTTGAGAATTGAGTTAGGCATAGTTTTTAGTCGGACAAAAAAAAAAAACTCGTTTGCTTCCAATCGTTGTCGCTCGCTGACGCTTTCTGTCAATTCAAGTCACCAGCTGTCTGTATCCACTAGGATTTACACGAGTTTTGGATGGGAAAATC